TCTGTCGCCCTACGCGGTGACACTTGGCGGAGGAAGCTGCTAGGACGCGCCCTGCCTCCACCCCGGGGTCTCCTGCCCCGTCGGTTTTTATTGCGCTGGCCTGTACTCTCTTAGCGAGCTTATCTTCAGGGCAGTATTCCTTACGCTAAGATCTCTTATTTGTGGTGGTCTGGGTTTTTGTGGGGTTTTTTATTTTTTTTTCTTGCTCTTAAGGGCATAAAAGTCTTCCAGCTGTTAGTCTGCACAAAATACTTGCTTAAACTGCATGAAGTTCAGCCACATCAACGCAAGCAAAAATTGCTGTGAGCACTTGGTAGTTAAAAGCACACTCTTGAGGAAACCCTAAATGTACAGGGGAATGAGCAAAATTGGGATTTATGTTGTAAGACTGGAGCATTTAAAGGGGTCTCAAGAAACAAGTGCCTGGAAGATTCTTTATATGACAGTAGTTGATTTTAAAGACAAACTAGAACGCTTAAAAGAGTTGTGTAAATACTTAAAATAGGCACATCAGTCAAGCTATCCAGTCGTAGAGGAATCCTGGAATTGCTCTGCAAACCGGTTCTGGAAAAATGAGGGATTCTTGTACCCGTCAGTCCTGGAGGGCACCCCAGAAAATAACCCCACAGGTTATTTTGCAGAGGCCAGATTTCAAAGAAGCATTCTCCTTTACACACCCAGTACCTTGGGCCCATCATTTCAGAATTTGGCAGAAGACTTGGGAATCGCTCTTCAGGGAAGCAAGTGTAGATACTGGTGCTTTTATTGGGCCTTTTATTTAGGTTTGTTTTAAATATTGCTTGTTTTTTTTCTTTAACCGTCTGTTACCAATCTGAAGTGTCTGCCAAGCTCCTTAATTGGTTTTGTGTCCGCAGCTTTAACAACTTGACTCTGAGTCTGCCCAGTTTGCTTTCTTCCTGTAGGTTTTAAGGTTAAATGTTGTTGTCAGTGCTGTAAGCTTTAGCATCTTTGGCTTTTGTAAACGCCTATGAAGTCCTAGGCCACAAACTCTATCTTTAGGGAAGGCTTTTTTCCTGTTTCCCTCGGTAGTGGAAATGCTCAGTGACGTGAGTCAAGCAGGGAGGCAGCAGCAGCTAGTTAAGACATCCGAATGGCTTCCCCAGTCATTAATTTGGCAGCTGTTTAATCCCTGAGGTTGCCATTTTTAATGAGAAACCCAGTGTGATCTTGTGTTATCAAGAGATTAGAGCCGCAGCCTGAGAACCGAACTGGAGGACATTTCCTCAACTCTGGAATCTTGCTGGCTTGCTCCAAGGGAAACTTTACAAGGAGCTGCCGCCCTTGCTTGTCTTTGCTTCAGCCGGGTTTGCTTGCAGCTAAAATTAGCTTTGGAACTAAAATTTAGCTTTGATGTAGGTGCACGTTAACATCAAGTATTTCCTGTGTGTTTTTAATGTTAAAAGTGTGTTACTGTTCTGAAAAAGGAGTTTAAATTCTGAGTATCTGTCAATTGTTTCTCACAGTTGTCAAAATAATAAATGGATGTACAGGCCGCTGGCTTGGTCGTCTTACCATAATTGGAGCTGCACGTTGATATCTGGCTTTGTGTTTAGTGCTCTGCTGGACACACAGTGGCATTTTCTTAATCTGTCTGCTTGTCTGATTCCTTTTTTTTATTATTATTTTGTGTGTTAGAGGTTCTGTTAAGGGGAGAATGGTTTAGTGCAAATATAAGCTAAAGGGCTCGGTAGGCCTTCAGAATCAGGATTTCTCTTGTACTGGTCCAAATTTTCTTTGAGAAAGCGATCACTGTTACTGTTAGACCATCCAAGCGACAGGAGGCTTGCTGCTTTAGAGGTGCTTGCTGGAAAACACCATCAGGAATCGCAAGGCAGGCACTGGGCTTCAGAACCGACCAGTAAATTTTTTTAATTAACCGTGTATGCACCTTGAGCTATATCCATGTAACGCAGTTGTTGATCTAAAACTCCAATGTCCTCCTAAATAGAAATTGCATTTTCAAAAGGACTTTAAAAACAAGCATCTGGTATGGTTGTCCAAAATCAAACTGGCAAGAGTGTCCACGCTTGCAGAGCGTAGATGACAGTGCTTCCTACCACCTTTTTTCAGTTTGAGAGTGAAGAAGTGTGCTAAACGCCTTTTTTTTTTTTTTTTTTTTTTTTTTTTTTTTTTTTTTAACTGAAAACCTGTTACTGGGCTCTTCTGAAGGTTTTCAGCTTTTGGAGCATCTGGTAAGAGATCTCGCGTTGTGAAGAAGAAAGTATTTAGGCTCAGGCTTCGCAAGGGCTTCTGGATGCTGCATCATGGAGATCAGCTGTCTCACAATGGTCAGACTGGCTCTGCTTCCTCTGCCTCTGGACTCCCTTTTTCCAGTAGGCTTTGAGGCTTGTACGCATCAATTCCATGAGGAAACAAGGTGACTTGTTTTTACTGGTGCTGTCTGATGGAGTGGCCATAGCTTGGACTGAGTTTTTGGAAAAGTCTTAATTGTCATCCTCATGTTTTAAAGCCAAGGGTGAGGAATGCTTGGCTTTCTCTCTTAAAAAATTTTTTTAATTCTTTATTCTGTCACCCATACCTCTAAGCTCTCCAATTCTGAGCGCATTTTCACATAAGCTTGCTTTGCGATGTCTTTGGCCAGTCATTCTAGGGAATAAAAGCTACTTTTCTATTGATTCAAAACGTTCCACAGACTAATGAAACTAATACCACATCAAGGTTCAGTTGGTATGGTGCGAGCTGGGCTGTATGGCTGTAAGCACGTTATGAGTGGTGGAAACGGCATGTACAGTGCTCAAACCAGCGCTGAGGCTGTTTGGGCTGTGCCTCTTTGCTGCAGAACAGAAACTTTTCTGACTTCAGTTGGTGTTGTGGTTGCCCAGCCTCACCCGATGTGGTAATTGTGGAAACTTGTATCACGATGGTGCTGAAGGATGCTTTTGGATTCGTGTAGGTACGGACTTGATCTGCTTTCTGGTTCTTGTGAGGGGAGAAACCCAAACTCTTCTGTGTCTTGTGCTCACAAATGCAACTTGAATAACCCTGCCGCCTTCAGTGGGCAGCTAGTGTTGTTACTCCTTAAACGAAGGAGCTGTCGAAGCTGAGAGGATGTCACTGGAGAGCCTGCAGCGGTGAGATCATAGCTTGTTTCAAAGACTGCAATAGCCAATCTCCCGCACAGCCCCCTGCCAGAAATGACTGACTGCTTGCTCTCAGGTATTCTTTCTTCAAGCATCTCCATCAGTGGGATGTGAAGGGTCAAGGGGTGTGCAGCAGGGAGGAAGAACGTGTTCACATGCAACTTACGAACTTCAGCCTGTGCTCTGGACCTTGCACAGGCTGCCTAACAATCTCTTCAAGCAGTGAGCTAGTGGGGGACCAGCTGAGAGCAGGTTGAGGAGCAAGGCTGATCCTGAAAGCCAGTTGTCTTGACAGTTCTCTGTTTTGTCCCCTCCCCAAATGACTGAATTTGTAAACTGGGCTAACTTAGTGTGTGTTTCACACATGAACTTCAATTTCCTGTTGTCTTGCAGGAATGACACCAAGGAAGATGTGTTTGTCCATCAGGTAAGACTTCCCTGAAACTGAACCCTACTACCTCTCTGAAACTCGCTATGCGTGATCTGTGTGAGTAGGATTGAAGTTGCGAAAGAGCCTCGTGCTTTCCAAGAACCGTTACTTGAATACAAACAACTGTTTCTCGCTGCTGGATTGCCAGAAGAGCCTGCCTGTCCTGGGGGGTTTTGCACATTCACGTGCGTCCGCCCTGAGATGTGTGGGGTCAAGCAGGCTGATGCTGTGCAGCGATGAAAATTGCACTGGCTGCAAGTGTGCTCTGTTGACTCGGGGATAACTGTTTGAAGTCCAGTTAAGTTGCCTTGTGGATTCATATAGCTGTTAGTAAGCATATGGTAATAAGCTTAAATGAAAAGCTTGCAGCAGGAAGGGAAATTAATTGGGCTGTAATAGGGCTGAAGTGCCAGTGGAGGTTGTTTTTTTTTCTTAAGGCAAAATGTTTATGGAATTTATGACTCCAGGCTTTCAATGAAAGCCTGAAAACATTTTAATAATACTTTTTCAATGAAACTGATACATACACTTAAATATTATCTCTGGGGAGCATGTAAACCTCTGGAAACCAGACCAGAGTGAGACTGCATGCCACATTTGTGCTTTAATTTCCTGGAGCAGGTTGGCCTTAGTTTAGTCCTTTGTGTTGGACTTGTAAGACCTTGTGATCAGCTCTGTGGTTTTCCCCCTGTCTGTCTTAGGATCGCTTGTGAAGCAGCCCACAAAGAGTTCTTAGCGGAGCATGGCTTACTTGTGGCGTTTGGGAGCCCGTGGATTGTTCTTTTGTTTTGAGTTAGGGATGTACTGCTGACGCTGTGAACAGAGGGAGGAAAAAGTAACCCCTGGAAAGCATTGTGGCTTGAGTTTGATTTGCCATCTCTCAGCTTCTCGCCTGTGCTGTCTCTGAATTGCTGGTAACATGTAGAGGCATTTGTTTATGAAAGGTTATTCTGTAACGGGCAGTGGAGAAAGGCCAAGCGACCCTACGGCGTTTCTGTGTGCTGAGGCAGGAATATATACCCCAAAGGGAAGCTTTCAGGCTTTAGTACTCAATTTGCAAGCAGGGTAACCTGTAAGCGACCTTGACTTGCAAGTCAGGTTTCAGGACTTCCATGTGACTACTGTCTGTGTCTCTAAAAGCACAGTTCAGCAATGATTTCTTTTAATGTAATAGTTTTCACCATAGAAGAGTTTTAGGCGTCTTATCTGAAAGAAATCAGCTTGGTTTAGGAGTTCCAGCTGCATATGCTTTTTTTCCCCATCCCTGTTATCAAGCTTGGGTCTCATGAAGAGCTGTTACACTCTGCTACAGTTGGAATAAAGTTTCCCTGTCTTACCCTAAAACCACTGCTTTATAGGCTGAGGCTTGCAGGCATGTTTTTCCATAGATTTTGTTCCATTTCAGGGAAAAATATCTAGTCAAATTCTGTTGGTGGTAGTTTTTGTGAAGCTGTTACACTTGTGTTCCTATTCAGTTAGTGTTTGATAAGTGGAATGTGGCTGAGTGCTGCATTTTGAGTATTAACTCATCTGTCAAAAAACTTAATCCACTGCTGAATAGCACGGGAAATTCAGTGTTTTCTAGTAATGTCATTTAACATGCAGATACTGATGCAGAGGCCTTGTCTGGTGCTGACACCTTAGAAGGGCTAATCCTTGGTGTATAATACACAGCTAGAGTAGATCTGTGATTAATTGGTAAATACCGTGGCTGAAGCGATGGCATTGGAAGGCTCAGAGAAAGAAATCTCTTGGTTTATGGCCGTTGCTGTGTTTGTATAGCTTGGGACAGCCTCATTTGCCTGTGGGCTACCGCATGCTGCAGTGGTGTGGGAAACGGTTGGAAATCTGAGTGTAGGATTGCAAAGGCTTATATATTGGTGTGTATACTTCAGAGGAATGTATATGTACTGTGGAGGTGTTCCATGCTAAACTCTGGTTAGTGACACTATGGGCAGTGTGTATTTTGGGGGGGGGGGGGCGGGGTTGTTGTTGACAGATGTTTCTAGTCAAATGTTACACATTTCAGGTGGGCCAGAACTATAGTAGTAATACAGGTAAACTTTATAGCTTCCTGGATTTTCACGGTGTTTTAATTGCTTTTTCAGGAGTACAGGGTCTTCCTCCTAAGATACTAAATACTCAGATTCCTTAATCTTTGAAAAAAAGTCTTCAAATATGCTAAGTAGCATTCCTACGCTGTGCCTGTAAATTTAATTCTGCAATGTTGTGTTGTTAGACTGCCATAAAGAAGAATAACCCCAGGAAGTACCTCCGCAGCGTAGGAGATGGAGAGACCGTGGAGTTTGATGTGGTTGAAGGAGAAAAGGTAAATGCGTCTCTCGGGTGTTGAGCATGCACGGAAAGCCTGGTCTGCAGGCTTTGGTGTGGTGCCTGTGGTTTGAGTCAATGCCTGCTGACATCCAAGGAGATGAATGGTTTTTCATTGCTTTACAACGTGGATGTAAATTGTTGCTCAGTGCCGAATTATGTTACGCTATAACTGATTTGATGCTGACTGTTTTACCCACCTAACGCTATCCCTGCTCTTCAGGGTGCGGAGGCAGCTAATGTTACAGGTCCTGGTGGAGTTCCAGTGCAAGGCAGCAAATACGCAGCAGACCGTAACCATTACAGACGATATCCACGTCGTAGGGGTCCTCCACGCAACTACCAGCAAAACTACCAGAATAGTGAGAGTGGGGAAAAGAACGAAGGAGCAGAGAACATACCAGAAGGTCAAGCCCAGCAACGCCGTCCCTATCGCAGGCGGCGGTACCCACCTTACTATATGCGTAGGCCCTACGGGCGTCGACCACAATATTCCAACCCTCCCGTTCAGGGAGAGATAGTGGAGGTAACGTTCGCTTGCAGTGTGATGCTGAACTGGTGTGGTTGTTTTGGAGCAGGGTGATGGGGCGCAGCTTCTTGCTGCTTTTTGTGGATCCTCAAGATGGTTTTGCTAAGGTTGGGCAGTAAGGTGGAATGTTGGAGCAGATGTTGATAAGCTGAAGGTCTTAAATGTTACAGCTTTTAAAAAAAAAAAACCAGAGCGTGTTTGAATTTGTGGTAACTTCCTATATGATTAACTGGAAGAAGCACAAATTCTAATGGTGTGTACTCGCGTGCCCTAGGACCTCTGACCACCTTGCTGTACACCTCAGGCTTACCCTGACAGCCCCCTAAACCGTCATCTTCCTCACGGCTTGACAAGGTGTGGTGTTAATGGGCCTTGGCATGTGGCTAAGGTGGTTTGTTGCCTGATGTCTTCCAGGGTGCTGACAACCAGGGTGCAGGAGAACAAGGCAGACCAGTCAGGCAGAACATGTACCGAGGATATAGACCACGATTTCGCAGGTATGCTGCAGATCAACCTTTTCTTTTTAACCTTGCCTCTTAGCAACAGAGACAGAACATGGCGATGGTCAGATGCTGCATTGTTAAAGCCTAGCTTGACTTTCAGGGGTCCTCCTCGTCAAAGACAGCCTAGAGAGGATGGAAACGAAGAAGATAAAGAGAACCAGGGGGATGAGACCCAAAGTCAGCAGCCACCTCAACGTCGGTACCGTCGTAACTTCAACTACCGACGCAGACGCCCAGAGAACCCTAAACCACAAGATGGCAAAGAGACGAAGGCAGCCGAACCACCAGCTGAGAATACGTCCGCTCCCGAGGCCGAGCAGGGCGGGGCTGAGTAAATACCGGCTTACCATCTCTACCATCATCCGGGTGCGTGTCTGGAGGGTCTCAAGGATACAGTTTGGTGACTGACTTTGTGCTTTTGACACTTTTATTTTTTTGCCTTAAAAGGTTTGGGCTATTCTTGCTCGTGTGTGTTGTGTAACCAAGCTGGCCATGCATGTGAGCTTGCTCACTACTGTCCACAAAATGAAACTGCGAGACTTTGCTGTGCAAGTGCTGATGAATTGGGAGGACTTGGTTACCAGGCTTTAATTTTCATTGATGGAGTCACTGCCTAGAATACTGTTAGTCTTAAAATCTTGGCTGTGCTCAGTAGTTCAGGCATATGGTGGTCTTCATCCACCCAGAAAAGATAATTCCAGCGGTGCTGGTACAGTGACTTGGAAAGCAGGTGGGAAAAACAGGCACAGGGATGTCCTCAGCTCTGTAATCACTCAGTCCCACAGGGAAGTGAAGAGTGTTCAGACCTCTAGGTGTTCATTTCCAGAAAGTTGAGGCAGAATTTGCAAGAGCGTCTCAGCAGCAGCTTTTTATCTAAACAAAAAAGTGCTGGAAGAAACTGGTAGGCACTGGTCCCTCTCACGGCGCAGCCTGGGGGCCTGTGGTTGAGGTACCGCAGCTGGAGGGGATGGCTGCCTACCAGGGTTGCGTGAAGGCTGATGTTCAAACATTTGGTTTTGCTGCAAGGTAGGCTGGCTGGGACTTGGCACTTGGTCAGTGTGGTCTTCATGGAGAGTTTCGCTAATTTGAGAGTATTTTCATTGCTAGGTCTCTTTCTCCTTGTTCTGCTTTTTCTGGTTGCCTTCCTCTGTCCTTCCCCTTTCTCTCCCTGTGTTTCCTCTTGCTAGCACTCGCGTCCCATTCCTGTAGTGTCTGTTGCCTGAAGGGCAGGCAAATGGAAGGACTGATTTGGACTCTGGTGGGAGCGGTGATGAGCAGTCACACGAACAGGGAACACAGGAGCTGGGCAGTAGCTTGGCATCGCCAGCAGCCACAGACCTTCCCTGGCTGGGGCGCTGTCGTGCAGAGGGATTGCTTGAGGCCTCCTGCGGTGTTTTCTGTGCTCATGATGTGAACCTTCGTTTCATCCTGGTGTTCAACTGAATGGTTCACACCTGCTGGACGGATTCTTGATACCGTGGGCTCCAGAGGAGCCCTGAGGGGATGCCCGGTTGCTCTTCTGGAGGTGGGCAGTTGCCCTCCTGCCTTCTCAGGGGTCAGCTTGCAGTTTGTCCCTTCCCAGACCCAGTCCCGCCGTGTGGAGCTGTGGGCACCTGCAGGGCCCGATGGGAGCAGCTCTCCCAGGAGGCCGGCGTGGGGAGAGGTGTAGGCGGGATTCCTCTGCCTTGAAATTTGGTGCCTTCTTCTGGAGTCTTTTGCGTGGGAGATGGCAGGTTGGGCCACTGAAAGCGGGCCGGTGGTGGCAGCGAGGTGGGCTGATGAAAGAGCTGTAGCTGGGAAGTGTTTTTTCGTGTGTGTGGGGCAGTTGGCACAGTGAGAACTGGTGAGACTTGGGAGACAAAACACCCGCGCAGCCCTCCGACGCCTGCCTCATCATCCTTTTTTTTTTTCCTCTCTTTCAGTTTAGTCATCAAAGAAAAGACTTAAGAAATGAAGAAGAAAAGAAAATGAAATTCCAGCAATAAGAAATGAACAAAAGAATTGGAACTGAAGACCTTAAGTGCTTGCTTTTTGCTGTTGACCAGATTACTCGAACTATCTGCATTATCTATGCAGCATGGGGTTTTTATTATTTTTACCTAAAGAAGTCTCCTTTTGGAAACGATAAACACGTTTTTTAAAAGCCTGTTTTTTCTCAATATACCTTTAAAGGTTTTTAAATTGTTTCATATCTGGTCAAGTTGAGATTTTTAAGAACCTCATTTTTAATTTGTATGAAATATACACCTGATTTTTTCAAGTCAAACTGCAAGCATCTGTTAATAAAGGTCTTAAAGAATTACCCTGTGTGCGTGGTTGTTTGAAACCTGCTCCTCTGTCAGTGGTTTGAAATGTCCATAAAGGGTTTGGGGGAAAAATGACTGCTTTATTTCTTCAGCACAGAGGCTGTTGGGGTAAAACACAAAACAGATTAAAGCCAAAAAAAAGAATTTAAAAGTATTTGAGCCCTGCTGTAACTGGGTGGAAAGGGTGGGGAGGGGGAAGAGGGGAGGTGCCTGGTGTGGGTCCGATGCGTTTCCAGGAGCTCTTTGCTGGAGCAGCTCGGCTGGGACGTGCCCGTCACAAGGCTGAGGTGATGTGAGGGTGCTTAAAACCCGCACAAGGAAAACCCCAAAAGCTGTTGTTGGAGACAAGCAGAGCACAACTGCTCTTGAGTTGTTACGAGTACAGGTGTGGGGTGTTTGCAGCGGGGTCGCTGCGAGCGTTGCTGCTGTCCCGCTCCTGGTGTGTGGAAAGGGGAATCCAGGGAAAGCACGGGGTCCCGGCTGGGTTTGAAAGGCAGAGCCTCCAGCAGCAGCCGTGTGTGCGCCAGGCTCAGCTTAGTTGTTGGACTTGGCTTAGCTGTTGGGCTCATCTCAGGGCGAGCGCGGGGGCTGCTCTGCCACCCTCAGCTGTTTCTCCCACTGACCCAGCCCCACCGCTCGCTGTAGTACCACGCTGTAGTACCACGCTGTAGTCGGGACGCGGCCACCCAGTGACACGTGACTGACCGGTGGCCTGATGGCCGCTTTTGAGGGGTTTGGACCACAGGCACCGAGCTGTTTAACAGCGCTGTCAGTCACGCTCTTTATTTCTGTCACATGGCCCCAGTGATCCAATTTCTTCATTTTTCAGGTGCCTGGGGCATTGCTTTAACCTACGCTAATCCTGGCAGGCTTCCTCCCATGCTGCGGGACGCGGCGGCTGGCCAGCGGTCTTTGCCTAGCGCCCGACGCGGGAGCTGCAATGAGGCAAGAGGTTTGCTGCTTTTCAGCTTCGTGTGACGTGAGAAATGGCCCCAACGTCCCTGGGGCAGACAGCTTGGGGCTGGGGGAGGGCTCCTGCGGCCTCTTCCTTGCTTGCCCCTTGCAGGGAATCTGTAGCCCTGTGGCAACCTCTGCTCAGGTCCGGGGCTCGCTCTGCTACCTCCGAGGGTTCATGGAGCGCCTCCCCCGGGAGCTTTCTGCCCAGCTTCCCCAGGCTGTGACAGCTCCTGCGCACTGATGGCAGGGTTGGGGTAACGGTTGGACTGGATGATCTTAAAGGTCTTTTCCAACCTAAACAATTCTATGGTTCTAACCATGGGGTGGGGGCAAAGACTGAGCAGTCAGCAAGTGTGGGGCAGGAGGTGGTAGTGGTGGGTTTGGTTTCTGGTTTGTTTTCATAACGGTTTGCAAGTGAGGAAGGATAATTGTTCACTCAGAGAAGAGAACTGCCTTTTTGTGTGGACTCCACACCTTTGCAGGTAGAGCCACCTCCATTAGGCTTCAGCAGGGCTTGCCTCCCTGTGCCTGATGTGTGGCTACAGAGCTCTCCGCTGGTAGCTCCATGGCAACAAGAAATGCTTCAGGCCAGTACCTTTACCTAGTTCTTAAATGCAAACCTTGTACTGCCAAATTTCTGAGCGCAGAGGGGGTTTCTGGTGGGCTGGTGTGTGAGTGATCAGGGCCACCAGCCACGTGGAGTCAGTGTTGCTCTGCGCAGAAAAGGCTTTCCACTGAGTTCCTCCAAAGCAGTGGCTGATCCATGTCCCAACAGTGTCCCCAGGGGACCTGGGGGCATCCTTTCTTAAAGCAACGCTTTTCTGGTGTTTATTTGTGTGAGATCTGGCTGGAAGGGGGGAAAAAAGCCCCCTCTCTGGGTGACTTCTTGTAGCACTCTTGCTTTTTTGCAGCTGCCACAGCTACAGCTCGCGTGGACGCTGCACTCGCAGCCTTAAAGCAATCGCAGAGGCATCCCAGTATAGGTGATGGTGCTTTAATGGGGTCAGACCTGGGGGGGGTGCACCCGCAGTGGGGCCGGGTGCGGGAGGTGCTGCTGCCCATCACACGCGGGAGTCCATGGCGTACATCTTGCTGGTGGCCGTTCGGGGCTGGGGAAGCCTCTGGGGTTGCCAGCGGCTGCTGGGTTCTGCCAGGAAAAGAGTCGGGGTTGTGTCACAGCTGGCAGTGGCAGGGGGGCTCAGGGGTGCCACAGCAGGGGGACATGGCAGGAGAAGTGAAGCCGGGCAGCCAGTGCTGTGGGGTCGACTTCCACCCAGTGGGTGTGAGGGCTGGAGGTGAAGCCTGGTGAGGCATTGCCCACCCCACCTCCCTGATGGTGGGACGGCCAGATTTCTACTGGCACATCCTTGCGGCCACCAGCTCAGGCTTCAGCTGGTCACAGTCATACAGCTCCAGCATGGCTGCTGCTTTGGGAAGATGTCAACACACCTTCACTACCACCTCGAGGTCCCACAGCTGTGGAAGGAGCAGTTCTGCACCTCCTCTATGCCCTTACGGGGCTTATGTGGTCCTCGCTCAGCCCAGTCCTGCCTGGCATGACCCAGCCCCCCCAGTCAGGGTGCACAGGCCAGCTGGGAAGGGGTTCCCCTTGATTTGGTTGGACCCTGCAAGAAGAGCCTGCACCCTCTGAGCAGGTCCTTCAGCCCACATACATCCCTGCAGGGCAAAAGGCTACTTCAGGTGGGCTTGGGGGGGACAGGGCAGACTGACCTGCACAGGCATAGAGGCAGCAGGTCAGCAGGACGGACGCCATGAAGCAGCCTGTCGAGCCAGCCATCCCCAGCCAGCACGACCACCCAAAATCGTAGTGGACTCCCAGGAAGATGTTGTGCGACACCAGCATGGCTCTCTCCATGTAGACGTCTACCGCATACCACACAGAGCCCACAAGACCCAGGATGCCTGGGAGGAACGGGGCCAGTTAAGAAAGAGCCATACAACCACCCCATGCTCACCCCATCCTTCTGAGGAGGGGCCCCTAGCTCCCAGCTTCCCACAGGCCACAAGGTCCAGCTGGCCCCCGAGCTCTCCCAGCCACGCACTCCCAATGCTGAGGATGACACCGGCCCCATAGCACATCTTCAGTTTGACACGAGGCTCTTCCTTGAGAAACTTGATGCAGTCGAGCCCAAGGAGCAATGTAGCCAAAGCCAGGCCAGCCAGGAGGTCTGCTGCAATCAGCAGGGTCCGCGTCACCACAATCTTCACTGTGCAGGATGGAAAAAAAATAAAAAACAACAGAAAGGGGACTGAGGAATGGTCAGAGGAACTGGTGTCCCACTCCAGATTGCTGCCTGTGTCCCTGCTAGAGTCAGCCAGCTCGCCAGTGGGCCCGTCCATAGGAGATCTCTACATTGGGACCCACCAACCCCATGTGCTGTAGGCAATGTGCTCATCAGGCTTGTCTGAAACCTTGCAGCAAGACTCAATAAGCCCATTATTAGACCAGTTTAAGAAACCAAACAACTGAAGGTGCCCCAGTCAGCACCTGGGATGTGGCCACCTACTCAAGACTCCTTGCTCAGGCTTGGACAGAAGATGCTGCTGTCCAGACTGCCTGGTTTTAACTCCCAGGTTGTGTAGCTGGAGTTTTGAACAGCGGGTGTCAACACAGCAGCGAAAAATAGGAGAGCTGGCACGGTTGACATCACCAGCTGCGTGCAAGGTCACTTCTCTCTATGAAGCTTTTTCCCCAGAGCAGCCCGACTTAGTCCATGCTGACTTCTTGTCCCCTTCTCCGCTGCCTGAATCTGTGTTGTCCCATGTCATCACCCTATACGAGGATTCTTCTGTGGCGGGCCTGATGTGCCCTGTGCAGGCCAGGAGAAGGCTCCACGCCATGAGATGACTGTCTGTGAGCTGACGCAAGTCCTTGGCCAGTGGGAACAGTCCTCACCCCCTCATGCAACATCAATGGGGTTGCAAATCCCACCATGCGATGTGGGGTAGGAGCTGCACCTGGGCTCTGTGTGCCAAAACACCTTTGTGGTGAGGTGGCACAGCCTCATGGCCTCTCTCCTGCTTGATGACCCCATGGCAGATCTGGCTGGCCCATGGGTTGCTGTCCAGGTCATGTTTGTGAGGCAGGAGACCGAGAGAAGCCCTGGGCTTGCGTTGCTAACTGATGGAGGTCAGCCCTTTGCAATGAGGATCATCTCAAAAAGGGAAGGGGGAAAACTCTTCACTGTGAACTTAAAAAATGCCTCAAGACACACCAACTTACCTGGATGGTCTGCCAAAATGGAGTCATACTGGTCACAGGTCCTGACCCCGTCCTGCATGTTGGTGACACACTCCCTCCAAAGCCCCCGGCATTTGTGACTTACCTGGAAGCAGGAGAAAGGCACTCAAGCAAAAAGCACCAAAAAGCACCCCAGCTCCCCAGGGATATCCCAGCCCAGCAAGGCAGATCTTCAGGCTCTCACCACCACAGCTGGACATGTCCCAGTGACTCCCCACCCATGCCTTACTCTCTGTTTCCTCCTTCTGCTCCAGCATTTCTCTCTCTCTCATCCTCTAATCCTCCAACTCGTGCAGAAAGCAGTGGGTTTGTCCCACTGTGTCCCTCTTCCAAGCCCATGGAGACACGGTGCAGCCCCATGGATTCCAAGGTACCCACCTTGCTCCCCACTGCTAACCTTGAAGGTGGTTGCTCTGCTCACCTCCAAGCTGTCATCAGCATTCACCATCCAGCAGTCGGTGCAGGTGGCAAGGAGCAGGAAGAGGGTTGAGAGAAGAGCAAGACCGAACGCCGTCATCTGCAAGGCTGCGCTCATGGGGTTACCTGCAAGGGCACAGAGATGTCCGCCACCTCTGCTCGAGCCACTTCCCAGGTACCAAGGACAATGTGCCACCTAGGCCAGGGTGACCTCTGGAGCCCCATGAGTCATCTGGGGCCCATCTCATGGTCCTCAGTGCTGCCAAAACACTCCTCAGCTGAGGTTGGGCCACCAGGTTTGCATGTAGGCAGGGCCTTCAGAGATACATCAGTTCTGCAGTGGAGATGTACCCGCATCGGGTTGCTCTCTAGATGTCCTCTTTTCCACAGAGATCATCTGAAGCTGCCCACCAGTAGTACTTGTCCTTTGGGAATAAAGAGCTGCTGGAAAACATCAAAATCTGTGATCTGAGCATGTTCCTCCTGATACCCTGAGGTTTTCTTGATGCCTCCATCCCCGCATCCATGTGATTCGGTGGGAAGGTCACCTGCCCTTTCTTGCCTTTTTTTTTTTTTTGGAGATGTCTTAACCTCAAGCAGCAAGCCCAAAGAAAGCATCTCCCATTAGGGAGGTGGATGATGGCTGCTGGGGCTTGATGTGGGTGCCCTTGGGCGCTGCTGAGGCTTCCTGAAGACCAGAAGGGATGGGACCATCTGTTTTTCATCCTTGCCAGAGATGGAGGGACTTTGCAGAGAGGGGAGCTGTGCCTGAGGTCAGGAGCAGAGGACATTGTATCTGCACAGCCTGGCCATGAATCCGGCTTTGCTGTATTTTGCAACTCAAGACACTAAATATTTTAGCATCTGAAGTTGCAACCACTGCTGCAGCCCTTTGAGCAGAGGGTGGTTAGTGGGTTGGAAGGCCCCCTCCCCTTTCTTGCCTTTTTTTTTTTTTGGAGATGTCTTAACCTCAAGCAGCAAGCCCAAAGAAAGCATCTCCCATTAGGGAGGTGGATGATGGCTGCTGGGGCTTGATGTGGGTGCCCTTGGGCGCTGCTGAGGCTTCCTGAAGACCAGAAGGGATGGGACCATCTGTTTTTCATCCTTGCCAGAGATGGAGGGACTTTGCAGAGAGGGGAGCTGTGCCTGAGGTCAGGAGCAGAGGACATTGTATCTGCACAGCCTGGCCATGAATCCGGCTTTGCTGTATTTTGCAACTCAAGACACTAAATATTTTAGCATCTGAAGTTGCAACCACTGCTGCAGCCCTTTGAGCAGAGGGTGGTTAGTGGGTTAATTAATAAGACCAGATGGGTCTCTGAGCTGCATGGGTTAATTATCGTGGGGGGGGTGACTCTTCACGACGCAGAGTTTGTGACCGAGTTTGTGACCGTCAGCCAGCTGCTGCCCACCCTGGCGTGGCACAGGCTTCCCCGCGGGGCAGCGCTGCGAAGGAGGGTCACGGTTCCCGCACCCCGTGTGCAGGATCTCCCATCACCTCCCCTCTTGGGACGTCGCTGGGAGCAGAGGTGCCACTCCCCCTGGCTCTTTGAGTATTTCCATCGGCTTCACTCAGTGTTATTAACAAGTGGCCTCCTAGACCCCAATTTACAGTGGGTTTTTTAATTTCCCAGGCTCCCCTCTGAGCTAACTCTTCATAACCTCATTTTTTCTACTAGACCCTTGCTGGTTTGGAGCCTTTGAGGAAAATCCATTCAGCCAGTTGAGTTACATGAGCAAGAAAAAAGAAAAGAAAAGAAAGAAATCCTTAACCCCGGTAAAAAACAGCTCTGAACCCTGTTAGCAATAAATAAAAAGGGTTTGGGGAGGCAGGCATTACCTTCACCGTAGGCTCATCCTGGCTGGGGTGGGACGATGGCAAAAGCTTTTTGATGGCTGAGGCTGGGACGTGGGTGTTGAAGGCTTTTGAGTGCTGGTGGGATTTGATCCTGACCCACCTGATGGAGCCAGGGAAATGCAACGCCTGCCAGAGCCTGTGCTGGGCTATTTAAGGTTTTTCCAAGCCACGTCGGATGGGCTTCGTGCTCCAAGGCGTGACGGGCATCCCTGTGGTTAAAACGGTAATAGGTTGGAAATGGAGCCGCCCCAAAAAATTATCACGTGGGGAAACCTGTGGGAACCCACTGGGAACGCTCCCTAGGTGGGGGACTCTGTGTCCTGGGCGAACATCCCACAGTTTTTAATTAGACCTTTTAATTACTGCCTAGGAGAGAGTGGCCTAAGACATGTTGGGTCCCCAGGACTGGTGCAAGAGAGTCAGAGGGGTGGAGGTGGCCGCAGCAAGCAGCCAAAATCCAAGGCAGAGAATTAAACCCCGTTGGCCAGGCATGCAGCCAACCATTTATTTTTTCCCCCCCATTAAGTGGAAAACAAGTGATAACCACTGCAGTTGCTTATGGCTCTGATGTGCCTGGTCAGCGCCCGAGGAGCTTTTTGTGACCCTGGAAAGTGGTGCCCCAGCTGCCTGGCACTTGGAGCTGCCCAAAAAACTGCAGGTTTTTTCCCTGATCCCCTACTATCTGGGGAAAAAAAGAAAGCTTTTGCTCTTGCTTTCTCGCAACACATCCCTGGGATGAGCTGTGCCCTGTGACTCCCAGCCATTGCTACCCCCTCGTCTCCAAGACCCACGGAAAACCCATCCCTATTTCCTTCACAGGTTGTATTTAAGCAATGCACTTGGGTTTTTAGCTTTGTTTGGGGTTGTTGGGGGTTTTCCCCTCTAGATAATCCTCTGCAGTATTGAACTGTGGGGATTTTGGCAGCCACCAGGCTCTTGGCAAATCCTCGAGCTTCAGCCCTGCAGGGGCACCCATGTGCTTGACATGTGCGACTGCTGTGGTTTTATTTGGGGTTATCCTGTTTTCCTGGGATTTCGGCACATGGCAGGTCCAATGCTTGAATATAGCGGTGAACTAGTGCTGAAAACTATAGAATCATAGAATGTTTTGGGTTGGAAGGGACCTTTAGAGGTCACCCAGTCCAACCCCCCTGTAGGGAGTAGGGACATCTTTAACCAGACCAGGTTGCTCACAGCCCCATCAACCTGACCTTGAATGTTTCCAGGGATGGGGCCTCCACCACCTCTCTGGGCAACCCGCGCCAGTGTTTCACCACCCTCATTGTAAAGAATTTCTTCCTTATATCCAGTCTAAACCTGCCCTGTTTTAGTTTAAAACCATCACCCCTTGTCCTGTCACAACCAGCCCTGCTGAAAAGATTATCCCCACCTTTCCTATGGGTCCCCTTTAAGCACTGAACAGCCACAATCAGGTCTCCCCGCAGTGTTCTCATCTCCAGGCTGAACAACCCCAACTCTCTCAGCCTGGCCTCATAGGAGGGGGGCTCCAGCCTTCGGATCATTTTAGTAGCCCTCCTCTGGACCCGCTCCAACAGTTCCATGTCCTTCTTGTGCTGAGGGCTCCAGAGCTGGATGCAGGGCTCCAGGTGAGGTCTCACCAGAGCAGAGCAGAGGGGCAGAAGCCCCTCTGTCGCCCCACTGGTCACGCTTCTTCTGATGCAGCCCAGGACAGGGTTGGCTTCTGGGCTGCCAGCGCACATTGCCAGCTCATGTCCAGCTTTTCATCCATAAGTACCCCCAAGTCCCTCTCGGCAGGGGTGCTCTCCATCCTTTCTTCCCCCAGCCTGTATTGATACCAGGGGTTACCCCAACCCAGGTGCAGGACCTTGCACTTGGCCTTGTTGAATCTCATGAGGTTCACACAGGCCCCACTTCTCCAGCTTGTCCAGGTCTCTCTGGATGACATCCTGTCCTTCTGGTGTGTCAACCACACCACTCAGCTTGGTGTCATCTACAAACTTGCAAAAACATCCACGAGGGTTTGCGTACCTTCGTTTTCCAACATTTACAGCTCAGGAATTTATGGTACTGGGACATCCACGACATGCAGTTCTGGTGCAATACAAAGCTGCAGCTGCATGCCCTGGTGATGCTTAGGAAATGGGTTTATTTTTATTTTATGCTCATCTGAACCATCACTTTATGATACATCGAACAATCTGCCTCGCTGAGTGTTGACTGAAACCTTTTGGGAGGTTGAAAAGCAGAGGGGCAGGTCTATCAGCAGTTGAATAATTAAGATCATTTCCCCGGTTAATGAAGGTGAAAATCAGATCTTTTGCCCCATGAGGTTTGCAAAACCCCTGTGTGAAAAAAATGGTGCTGACAGGAGATCCAAATCTTTGTGTTTTAGCACAAGTTATGCAGCACAAACCTGCTGTGGCTGGGAGGAAAAGAAAACCAAAAGAGATGAAGGGGTTTTCTTTGAGGGCACCAGCTCACAGGGGTGGAGAGGACTCTGCAGATGCCGGTGGGGCAGGCCAACAAGTAAAAATGAATAAAAATGAATAAACCCGTCATCGAATAAAACCAGTCCTGGCTCAGAGGCATGAGAAAAGTCCCTCTGCATGTGGCCCCCCGGCCAAGGGCAGCGCTGTCGCAGAAACACCTTCGTGCCAAATCTAACAAGGGGCACTTAAATGGATTTAAAAATTATTTCAATTTATTTTTTAAGCAAAAAAGGCAATTCCCCCCCCCCACACACTCTTATTTACGTGGAATTTCAGTGCCATGTCAATTTGGTGAGATTTGCTGCGATCGTGGCCCCTGGGGGGGGGTGTCATTTTCCTTTTTCCCCTCATTTCTGCCTAGTTAAAAATGAATATTCTTCCACAGGGGGTTGGATGCAAGCAAGAGGTGTGACCAGAAACCGAAATATTGTGCCTCATACCAGTTTTACTAAATAAAAAAAGTGCAGTGTGTGGGGGGAACGGGACATGCATTAGCCTGGATGCGATGTGGACAGAGGCAGATCCCCCATATCGCAGCAAGCCCGGCATCCTGTTCCCATATTTTATCCTGCTTTGCCCTGTGCAAAACACACGAGGGATTGTCCGGAGGACAGTGGGGGCCTTTATACCCCCGACCACGTTATTGCTGCTCAGCTATTTTCCCACCCCCCTCTTTGATACGCTTCCAGCCCGGGTGTCCATCCCCAGGGAGCCCTCGGGTGACCCATAGAGATGTCACAGGAGCCACCACGACCCCAAATCCCTGCTTTTGGAGATGGGATGGGGTGGATTTGTGGACCAGGTGCCACGCGCAGGATGAGGATGCTGAGATAAGACACCAGCCATGTGAAATCCCGGCTGGAAAGCATCATCCCCCAAGGAAAACCAGGAAGAGCATCCTGGGGGAAGGGGTCCTGCCCCCCTGTGGGGAAGGCAAAAATCAGCTTAAATTAGCAAAGTGCCCAATTAGGCACAACCCAGCTCTGAATTCACAGAAAATAGAAGAAAATAAGGGAGAGGCCAGCTTTGAGGGTCCATAAGAGGGGCAATAAGAGGACAATGGCGCCACTTCAGCCTTGGGACGAGCCCTGCAGAGGGATCAAGTGGTGGCTGCAAGCACGAGATGCTGGGTGCAGCCCTGCTGCATGGGACCCTCTGGGCTTTTCCATGGGTTCAGCCTCAAATT